TCCACATAAGGAATGGTGTCTGTCCCGTCGATGAATGTACTGTGCTCCTGTATGCAAGTAGGCATCTGGGCAACACGTTGTCCCACTCATTGATATTCCTGTCCGCGAAGGCCTTCAGCAACGATTTAAGAGAACGATTTGTTCTTTCCACTTGCCCATTTCCTTGAGGATGATACGCTGTGGTTCGAGTTTTGTCTATCCCAAGTAACCGACAAACTTCAATTACCAGTGAGCTCTCAAAGCACGATCCTTTATCCGAGTGTAGCTGCCCTGGTGCACCCCAGTGGCAGACCCAATGATTTACCAAAGCTGTTGCCACAGTGGACGTATCCGCCTGTCTTATCGGTATAGCCTCGCACCATTTAGTAAAGTAATCGATCATGACCAAAATAAAGCGATTACCTCTTGGCGTCTCAGGTAAAGGGCCTATGAGATCCACTCCTACTATCTCGTTAGGATAGCCGGCCACCATGGGCTGCAAGGGTGCACGATGAACGATACGAGGGTTTTTAAAGGCACCACATTCTTCGCACGCTTGACAGTAGTTGATCACATCTCTCCGTTGATGGGGCCACCAGAAACGTCGTCGAACCGCTTCGTCCATTTTATTGATCCCTGCATGTCCCATTTCCTTGTGTAAATCGCTCAGTACTTCCCTAACCATAGAATGCGGGACGATGATTCTTCTCGTGTACGTCGGTCCGAAATTGAAAACCAAAACTCCTTCTTCGGTGGTCAGGTAATCCCACATGGACCAAAGGCAACGAGCTTCGTAACTTTTCCCTTCCATCTCTTTACTCGTTGGTTTATCGCCGCCATTAAGACGCCTCTCGTAGATCAGTGCGGTATCGGGATCGTTCGCCTGTGCCGTTTGCCACCGACCATACTCTGCTCCTTGAAGATTGACGATTGCTACGTGTTGCGTATTACACGAAGGGCACTCTCCATGGTTACGAGGGGGAATTCGTGACAATGCATCAGCATTAGCGTGTTGCTTACCGGGGCGATGTCTGCACTCAAAGTCATATTCCTGCAATTGCTCTTGCCAACGCGCGATTTGGCCTTCGGGGTCTTTAAAATTCTGCAGCCACCGAAGTGACTGGTGGTCTGTGCGGACCAGAAACTTTCGACCTAATAGATAATGTCGGTTTTGTTTGATGAAATATACCAATGCCAACATCTCCTTCCTAGTCGTGCAGTAATTTCGCTCCCTCGGGCTGAGACTGCGACTACAATATGCCACGACTCGTTCGACACCATCCGATCCCAGTTGTGATAACACCGCTCCAATCGCCTTATCACTCGCATCAGTGTCCAAGATAAACTGGCCAGCAGACGGGGACAAATCGGGAAATATTAGCAAAGGGGCCGTACAGAGAGATTCACGTAGGTGATTGAAAGCTTCTGCGCACTGCTTCGACCATTCGAACATGCGACCCTTCTCTAGCAATGAGTGTAATGGGGCTGCAATGGATGAGAAGTTTCGAATAAATCGCCGGTAATATGATGCTAACCCGAGAAAACTACGTAACTCCTCCGTAGTGGTTGGCGTTGGCCACGACCTGACCTGTTCAGCCTTTACCGGGTCCGTTCGAATACCATCTCCAGATATTATGTGCCCTAAGTACGCCACTTCCCTTTTCAAGAGATGACACTTTGAGGGCTTAAGCTTTAATCCCACCCTCAACAAGCATTCCAAAACACTAGCCAAATTGTCCAAGTGTTCATCTTCCGTCTTTCCATGTACGATGACATCATCCAAATACACGAGGCATTTACGCGGGATCAGGTCAGCTAATGCTTTTTGCATAAGGCGTTGGAAGGTAGCTGGAGCGTTAGATAAGCCAAATGGCATGGTCTGAAACTCGTACAACCCAGAGGGCACGACAAAGGCGGTTTTCGCTCGATCGCTCTCTTCTACTTCCACCTGCCAGTACCCGGAAGCCAGGTCAAGTGTGCTAAAATACACAGATCCGCCAAGTGCGTTGAACAGATCGTCGATCCTTGGGAGTGGGTAGGCGTCCTTTCGAGTAGCCTCGTTCAATCTTCGGTAATCGACGCATAATCGGAAGCCACCGTCCTTTTTCTTTACAAGGACAACAGGAGATGCCCACGGGGAGTTGGAGGGTTGGATAACGTTCTTCTCTAACATCTCATCTATCAGCTTCTGTATCTCACCCTGCCAGTGGATTGGAATACGTCTCGGAGGCACTTTAATCGGTCTAGCCACACCAGTGTCAATAGCATGTTTCACGAGGCCGGTCCGTCCCAAGTCGCCGGATTTCCATGCAAAGGCATCTGAATAATTTTGTATGACCTGCGCTAATCGTGCCTGTGTTAATGTGTCAGCTGAAAGCCCAATCGACCGAATAAAATCGTCTACACATTGTTGCTCTTTGACACTGCACTCATATAACGTAAAATCCTCAAAATTGCTGTTGCTGCATGCTCTCAGTAGTATGGTGCACGAATCAGTGATTAGTTGGGACTTCTCCAGGTCAAGTCGGCATTTTAACCTCCTCAACAAATCTATTCCGATAATAACATCGAACGGTATCCGATCAGCAACGATAAATTCATGGTTAAACCTTGTGCAGGCTACAACAACGGGGGCAACGATGGAATTCCGAACAACTAGTGGTAGCCCGTTGGCCGCGGTAAGGCGAGCGTTACAAGGTTTTCTAACACAGTTTGAGAAGCTCCTACTCACGCTGGCCCTGATTAGGCTTCTAGCTGCGCCAGTATCCACTAGCCCCAGTAAGCAAATCCCAGCTATCGATAATTCTAGTGTTAGCGACGTCACAATCGAGTTGCAAGTAAGAGATGGTATCACAAATGATGTCATGGTATGCTCACCTGGCGTGTTCCTGTAGCGAGACGATCCGCGGTATGACGTTTGTCTGCGGGGCCAACGAAAACCTGATTGTGCCGGTCGTCGTGGGGCAGGATATCTCTGAAAACGGCCAGGGATTTCCCGTCATTCTTTCAGGTCGGACGCGTCTATGTCGTGTGTTTCCTCTTACCGCAAAACAGCCAGATGTAGGCGTACCCATCGCTGCATCTATGTCTTCCAAATGGTCACTTGTTTCCAATGCTTCGTCCAAACGGCGTGGAGGGTATCGCAGGAACTCCCTTTTAATAGACGGCGTTTGAACGCCCTCTAGGAGTTGTCCTAAGACCAGCTTTTCACGTTCATCTGGCGTTTCGTTCTCGTATGCGATATCGGCCATCCTCTGCAGCTCGCGAACGTATGTGCGTATGGTTTCCGCCGGATATTGGTAACGTGCATGGAATGCCCTGCGTAGGGGCGCAGGTAGACCGGGGCGGGCTAATAATCGGCGCATGGCGGAAAAAGTCTCGGTTGTAACTTCTTTCTCCAAAAGTTTACTGTCTGCAACGATATCAAAGGCCTCTCCCGAGAGCAGGCCGGCGAGCACAGCTGCCTGTTGGTTGGATGGGAAATGACGCAGATAAAACTGGACTTGCTTTTCCCATCTGGGGTACAGCATCCCCAGGGTAAAACGTTCTGGCGGCGGGATAGATGGCATGCTGGTTGAAGAAGTTGATGAAGTCGACATTTTCTGCAAAGTCCGTGATAACATATCGAGCGAAGCGGCGAGCTTTGTCGTCGGATCATTAGCGTCAAAATTAGTTTCGTCATCGGCTTTGTCGGTTGTCTTCGGCATTATCTTCATTAGACCAGTGATACAGGATTCCTGATGAACGTGCCTCGGCAGGGTCGCCAATATTGTAGTATACAAGCTTGGGAGAACTCCGGAGATTGGAACTGGAGATTTATTAAGCAACACGTAGCAAACTACAATAGAGGAAATAATGTTATAAAAAGGAAGATAAACGTTACAGTCAATCTTCTTCTGCTTGCACTTCTTCCGTTAAAGCACACGACCAGGTTCCTGCAAGGCAAATGAAAGCGCAGCGTAAACACCAGTTCAAAGTCAAGCAGCGCGCCACGACAGTTTCCGTGCAACACTACACTACACCCTCCCTCCTTCGAGCGCCGTCCCCGGTGCTACCCCGTAGCCCCCCTCAGCCGGTACTTCAAGTTCACGAGCGACCACTGGTGGTGAATCTGCCCTCTCTGACTCAATTGACTCAGCTTCTCGTCTACAGGGTTTGAGGCGATTGAAATGGACAACTATAGGTTGACTATTAGGGTTGTTACGATCCTTTATCATGCAGGTGGCCTCAGAGAGCACTCGTTCTACCGTATATGGACCCGTCCACTCTCTGTGAAACTTTGCCGGCACTCCTGATGCTTGAGGTTGGTGTAACCAAACTAAATCACCAACTTTCAGGGGTACGCCAAATACCTTCTTGTCGTAATATTCCTTCTGACGCCGGTGTGCATTCCCTAAATGCACTCGTGCTGACTGATGAGACTGCCAAAGGGAGTCTAACAACTTGCTAACATATTCCATAACCGATGACTGTAGCTGTTGCGTCATCGGTAGACGTAGATCCGAAGGTAATCGTGCCTCTCTTCCTGTCCACATAAGGAATGGTGTCTGTCCCGTCGATGAATGTACTGTGCTCCTGTATGCAAGTAGGCATCTGGGCAACACATTGTCCCACTCATTGATATTCCTGTCCGCGAAGGCCTTCAGCAACGATTTAAGAGAACGATTTGTTCTTTCCACTTGCCCATTTCCTTGAGGATGATACGCTGTGGTTCGAGTTTTGTCTATCCCAAGTAACCGACAAACTTCAATTACCAGTGAGCTCTCAAAGCACGATCCTTTATCCGAGTGTAGCTGCCCTGGTGCACCCCAGTGGCAGACCCAATGATTTACCAAAGCTGTTGCCACAGTGGACGTATCCGCCTGTCTTATCGGTATAGCCTCGCACCATTTAGTAAAGTAATCGATCATGACCAAAATAAAGCGATTACCTCTTGGCGTCTCAGGTAAAGGGCCTATGAGATCCACTCCTACTATCTCGTTAGGATAGCCGGCCACCATGGGCTGCAAGGGTGCACGATGAACGATACGAGGGTTTTTAAAGGCACCACATTCTTCGCACGCTTGACAGTAGTTGATCACATCTCTCCGTTGATGGGGCCACCAGAAACGTCGTCGAACCGCTTCGTCCATTTTATTGATCCCTGCATGTCCCATTTCCTTGTGTAAATCGCTCAGTACTTCCCTAACCATAGAATGCGGGACGATGATTCTTCTCGTGTACGTCGGTCCGAAATTGAAAACCAAAACTCCTTCTTCGGTGGTCAGGTAATCCCACATGGACCAAAGGCAACGAGCTTCGTAACTTTTCCCTTCCATCTCTTTACTCGTTGGTTTATCGCCGCCATTAAGACGCCTCTCGTAGATCAGTGCGGTATCGGGATCGTTCGCCTGTGCCGTTTGCCACCGACCATACTCTGCTCCTTGAAGATTGACGATTGCTACGTGTTGCGTATTACACGAAGGGCACTCTCCATGGTTACGAGGGGGAATTCGTGACAATGCATCAGCATTAGCGTGTTGCTTACCGGGGCGATGTCTGCACTCAAAGTCATATTCCTGCAATTGCTCTTGCCAACGCGCGATTTGGCCTTCGGGGTCTTTAAAATTCTGCAGCCACCGAAGTGACTGGTGGTCTGTGCGGACCAGAAACTTTCGACCTAATAGATAATGTCGGTTTTGTTTGATGAAATATACCAATGCCAACATCTCTTCCTAGTCGTGCAGTAATTTCGCTCCCTCGGGCTGAGACTGCGACTACAATATGCCACGACTCGTTCGACACCATCCGATCCCAGTTGTGATAACACCGCTCCAATCGCCTTATCACTCGCATCAGTGTCCAAGATAAACTGGCCAGCAGACGGGGACAAATCGGGAAATATTAGCAAAGGGGCCGTACAGAGAGATTCACGTAGGTGATTGAAAGCTTCTGCGCACTGCTTCGACCATTCGAACATGCGACCCTTCTCTAGCAATGAGTGTAATGGGGCTGCAATGGATGAGAAGTTTCGAATAAATCGCCGATAATATGATGCTAACCCGAGAAAACTACGTAACTCCTCCGTAGTGGTTGGCGTTGGCCACGACCTGACCTGTTCAGCCTTTACCGGGTCCGTTCGAATACCATCTCCAGATATTATGTGCCCTAAGTACGCCACTTCCCTTTTCAAGAGATGACACTTTGAGGGCTTAAGCTTTAATCCCACCCTCAACAAGCATTCCAAAACACTAGCCAAATTGTCCAAGTGTTCATCTTCCGTCTTTCCATGTACGATGACATCATCCAAATACACGAGGCATTTACGCGGGATCAGGTCAGCTAATGCTTTTTGCATAAGGCGTTGGAAGGTAGCTGGAGCGTTAGATAAGCCAAATGGCATGGTCTGAAACTCGTACAACCCAGAGGGCACGACAAAGGCGGTTTTCGCTCGATCGCTCTCTTCTACTTCCACCTGCCAGTACCCGGAAGCCAGGTCAAGTGTGCTAAAATACACAGATCCGCCAAGTGCGTTGAACAGATCGTCGATCCTTGGGAGTGGGTAGGCGTCCTTTCGAGTAGCCTCGTTCAATCTTCGGTAATCGACGCATAATCGGAAGCCACCGTCCTTTTTCTTTACCAGGACAACAGGAGATGCCCACGGGGAGTTGGAGGGTTGGATAACGTTCTTCTCTAACATCTCATCTATCAGCTTCTGTATCTCACCCTGCCAGTGGATTGGAATACGTCTCGGAGGCACTTTAATCGGTCTAGCCACACCAGTGTCAATAGAATGTTTCACGAGGCCGGTCCGTCCCAAGTCGCCGGATTTCCATGCAAAGGCATCTGAATAATTTTGTATGACCTGCGCTAATCGTGCCTGTGTTAATGTGTCAGCTGAAAGCCCAATCGACCGAATAAAATCGTCTACACATTGTTGCTCTTTGACACTGCACTCATATAACGTAAAATCCTCAAAATTGCTGTTGCTGCATGCTCTCAGTAGTATGGTGCACGAATCAGTGATTAGTTGGGACTTCTCCAGGTCAAGTCGGCATTTTAACCTCCTCAACAAATCTATTCCGATAATAACATCGAACGGTATCCGATCAGCAACGATAAATTCATGGTTAAACCTTGTGCAGGCTACAACAACGGGGGCAACGATGGAATTCCGAACAACTAGTGGTAACCCGTTGGCCGCGGTAAGGCGAGCGTTACAAGGTTTTCTAACACAGTTTGAGAAGCTCCTACTCACGCTGGCCCTGATTAGGCTTCTAGCTGCGCCAGTATCCACTAGCCCCAGTAAGCAAATCCCAGCTATCGATAATTCTAGTGTTAGCGACGTCACAATCGAGTTGCAAGTAAGAGATGGTATCACAAATGATGTCATGGTATGCTCACCTGGCGTGTTCCTGTAGCGAGACGATCCGCGGTATGACGTTTGTCTGCGGGGCCAACGAAAACCTGATTGTGCCGGTCGTCGTGGGGCAGGATATCTCTGAAAACGGCCGGGATTTCCCGTCATTCTTTCAGGTCGGACGCGTCTATGTCGTGTGTTTCCTCTTACCGCAAAACAGCCAGATGTAGGCGTACCCATCGCTGCATCTATGTCTTCCAAATGGTCACTTGTTTCCAATGCTTCGTCCAAACGGCGTGGAGGGTATCGCAGGAACTCCCTTTTAATAGACGGCGTTTGAACGCCCTCTAGGAGTTGTCCTAAGACCAGCTTTTCACGTTCATCTGGCGTTTCGTTCTCGTATGCGATATCGGCCATCCTCTGCAGTTCGCGAACGTATGTGCGTATGGTTTCCGCCGGATATTGGTAACGTGCATGGAATGCCCTGCGTAGGGGCGC